GCAATAATATATTTGGCAAAATATTTCTATGGTGATAAATATTTTATTTACTGATAAATTTTTATTTGCTACTAAATAGCAAATAAGGTCAAAATATTTCTTGTGTTTAGCAAGTAAAATCAGTATTTTTAGTGTTTTATGTTATAAGAGTGAGTATTGTTAATAAATAATAGGGAGTTTAAGAATTTGATTATTTTAACTGAATTTAAATAATCAGGAATTTAAATAAGATTTCAGATCTTTTGAAAATATTAACATTTTAAAAACTTGTCAGGACAGAAACTAATTCTCATAATAAAACCAAGGGTTTGTATTTTATGTTAATTCTGGAACGCTGCTTCATCATTGCCCCAATTTCACTTTTCCGTGAAATTTTCTTTTTCTTTTTGAAATTGTTAAGCATGTGAGAGGATAGCCTGGGTTCTCTGGATGAGACAGAGTCAAACAAATTAATTTTATCAAAGCTGAGTATGGACCCATGGGCCATTTCAGAATCCTGAAAACTTCAGACACAAGGGAGCCTTAATCTATGCAGTTGTTAGCTTTTTCCCGCTGTGCCAGGTACAACAAAACAAGGAGATGTGGAAAGGCCTTGAGGCACAAGTGAGCAAGACCTGCCACTGTTCAAGGTTTGAGCGGAAGTACTCAGATAAGCCCATCTACCTATCGACATCTGGACACGGTGGGAATACGGCGTAGTGATGGACCACCTTTGGGGAACGTGCACAAAACCCACTTGCACCCCGGAGGCTTCCTGAAGTGAAGCAAATGTAATCTAACGCTGTGGGGAGAGGGGGATGCAGCTTGCTAGTGTTACCGAGTCCAAACTTGTTTTGCTTGCCACACGACAGGCCAGTAAATCAGGAGATGAGATGTTGGGGCAAGGAGTAGCGACTTTATTTAGAAAGCTGGCAGACCGAGAAGATGTCAGACTAATATCCTGGAGAACCATCTTCCCCAAGTCAGAATTCAGGCTCCTTCCATACTAAAAAGGGGAGAAAGTATGGCTGATCGTTGCAAACTTCTTGGTATAAGAATTCTTTTTTGTTGGAATCCTTTGTTTTTGCAGCTGTCCACGTGAATCAGGTCATGGTGCCCCAGTAAAACCTCTAACAAAACAAATGTTATTTTTTATTCTGCAGCTTGTTATCTTTATATGTCTGAAAAAGTGTTAATATCCTTAAAGGTCAGAGCCTTGAGAATAGGTTCTCCTGTATATCTCAGGCTAAAGGCAACATTCTTTTACAAAAGTACAGAGCTAGCAAGACTAAGCCCAGAAAACAGGGCACAGGGTTAAAGCCAAAGGATCAGATCTAATATTTGTTCTTTTCTATTACACAAGTGGCCCAGACCAGACTCTCCTCTGACACAAGGCAAAAGCCTAGCACCAAAGAATAAGCAAGAGGAAACTACCCATGAGGGAGAAGCAGGAGGGTGGCATAGGCAGGCCAAGCCTCCTTAAAGCTCATGGTGGAACAGGTATACTGAGAAAATACTTTGGAACTACAGGCCTCACACCATCAAAAGTAATAGCAATCCACCAATGGAGGTATCAAGTTTCTGATCCACTTAAATTAATTCTTGCAACAATGAAACACAAACTTCACTCAATTCCTGACTAAACTGGTTCACCTGCCATCCTCTCCACTGTCTCCTGTGATTCACCTTACAAATGTTGCATTGCTATACATAAAAATAATACTTACATCAGACTCTACTGTTATTTTCTGAACCATTCCGGCACTCAGTGAAAAATGATGAGAAACAACAAACTTGTATCAAGAGAAAAAAGCAGACCTAGATGGAGCTGGCCCAGGCTGAGATCCAGAAATGGCCCAGATTTTTTTTCCACCCAAAATTAGCAAATATAGTCATTTATTTGACTTTATAATAAGAAAGTCTCAAATTTTTTATGTAAAATGATTATGTTTTACGGACTGTGAGAGACATTCAGATGTAAACACAGGGTCCCGTTGGACCCGGGGGAAATGGAGCATTATTAGGTGTGATAGATAGTCTTGTGCTATAACCAGTGATTAAGTGAAAGTCAACACACAGAAAGCAGAGGGCTTCCCTCTCCACTCACCTGCTCTTCAAATTCTTTCCCTAATTTTGGTTAACAACTATATCCTCCAGGCAGAAGACCAGAGGATACCACTCTTGTTTTCTGAATACTTCTTCCTTTAAGAAAGAGTACCCTATTATTTTATGGAAACTTGCTCTCTTTTTTTCCCTCTCTGATTATATCAGTTGTAAATAAATAAAAATGTGTATATAATTTATAATTGTATATAATATGTCATTTATATATATGTAAAATATGTACATATAAAGTTTTCATTGATTCCCTTTACTGTCTTTGTTTTTCTATCTTCCTTTTCCCCTTTTGTTTTGATTTCTATTTTCCTTGATAACATAGTTCTCTAATACATGGAACTATTTGATTTTCTATTCATATTTAACAATTAAGTGATACTAGCAATTTAAAAAGAAATCTGAGAATGAAAAATACCATATGATATCACTCATGTGGATTCTAAAAAAAGGAAAAAGACACTAATGAACTTACCTACAAAACGGAAACAGACTCACATAGAGAACAAACTTATGTCTAGAAAGGGGAAGGGGGGTGGAAAGGGATAAATTGAGAGTTCGAGATTTGCAAATATTAACTACTACATATAAAATAGATAAACAACAAGTTTCTTCTGTTTAGCACAGGGAATTATATTCAATATATTGTAGTAACCTATAATGAAAAATAATATGAAAACAAGTATCTATATGTATGATTGAAACACTATGCTGTACATCAGAAACTGACACATTGTAAAATGACTACATTTCAATTAAAAAAAAAATAGAAATCTGAGACTTTTCAACTGATGAGTTCCTTTCATTGGGGAACATGATGCCAGTTATTTCTAAGTCATTTCCGCACAGAGAAATCTTCTGATCTTCTGCCTGGAGGATGGAGTTATTCAGCCAAACTAGGGAAGAAATCTGAGGAGGGGGTCAGTGGAGAAGGAGGGTCTCTGTATTCTTGTGTTTACTTTTGCTTACTCACTGTTCAGAGCACAATGCTGTCACACCTAGGAATTCCTGATTTCCCTGGCTCCAATGCTAGTCTTCCTGTAAATCTCCAAATAATAAACCTCATGTTTCTGCCGGAGTTTGTAGGTATGGTTCTTACTGATACTAGGTTGAAAAGCCCTCGGAGGTGCTTGTTGCCTCTCATACTGTAGCCTTTCCCAGAACCTGTAGCTTAAATCCACATTCCCCACCTTCCCCCTCTCAATGGATAACCCTGGTAAACTAAAGTAGAAATTTTATGTGCTTTGTAAAATATCCACTCATCCATTTGCTTTCCTGCTTCCACAATTATCATACCTCATCAACTTTTGTCTCTTTGTTGTGGAAGCTCTTTATCACTTTATTCTCATTTCAGGGCAGTTTTAGTAGAGAGTTTATTTTTAATCCGACATATTTAACCAGAGTCCTTCTAGACTGATTTCTTACTTGCTCCACTTTTTTTCTTTTTAGCTTATTTTACTACAAATGAATTTTATGCAACTACCTTGAAAGTGTGTGTGAGTGGATGTATGACAAGTTGGGAAATCCCCAAATCTTAGAGACTCGGCCTTAAAATAGGAGGTTTAACTCCTTCTCATTTTTTATGATTATTCTGATTTTGAATTTATTTCTGTAACCTTACTTTATCTTTTTCAATTGATTGTTTTTTCTTTTTACTTTGTTAGTATTTTCTTCCTAGTCTTGGACTATTTGAGATATTTTCTTTCTTTTTTTCCCTCTGGCTGCATGCAGTTGCAGATTCTATTACTGTGTTTATATAGCTTACACTTAAATTTTTTAAAGGTATATTTTAACTTTTATGTTTCTACCAATGTTCAGATTGATTTCATATTTATATCCTGCTGTTAAATAATACAAAAATCTTCCTGTATTCCACATCTTTCCCTTTATAGTTATCTTAGATTTTTCTTATGGAGTTTTGCATATTTTTTGTGTTATGCGTCAATAATTATATTGAATCAGATTTAACTTCAGTTGCTATATTTCTCAATGCTGTTTCTTATAGTCTATATTTCTATTTTCTTGATTTATCTTATTTTTGAAATTTTCTTATTTTTTGATTACGTATACTATACTGAAGGTGGTAACATGTCTGAGGATATCACTTTCTAAATTTTTAATTTTTATCCTTATATTTTAATGCTAATGGGGGTAGGAGCTATAAGTAAAGTATATTAACTTGTTTATAAACCCAAAGTCCTATTCTGGGTATTTCCCTTTTCAGATACCCTTTCTCAGAGAAATTAAATCTTTAGCTTGTCAACAAATCATGAATCATGGTATTAGCAGCTCCTGAGTATTTCCCCTTTCTTCCTTCCTGCTTTCCTTCCTTCCCTCTGCCTTTCATTCTTCCTTCCTCCCAGTTATTCTCGCTATGCTAGTTTGTAGAGAGACAATTACTTCAATCTCTAATCTGATTTTCTAGCCTCAAACTGAATCTGAGGATCTTTTCCAGAGAAATCTTTCAGTTTTTTAGGACAGTAGTTCTCAACTGTCAGATCATAATACTTACTGGAACAATACTTAAAATACATATTATAGGGAAGAAACTCCATAAAAGGAAGTTGAAAATGTGAAATTGTCACAGATGCGTGAATATTTTTATGTAATAGAAAACAGTTTCCAGTGATTTTAGTAAAAATCCAGTTGTCTAATGTATATATGCATGTAGTAATAGCTTCACTGGACCAGTTAATCTTAAGCAGTTGTGATTACTTACACTGAAAATTACTCTGGAAGCCCTTAATGCTTTAGATAGTTGTTGATTGCTAGCTTTGAGTTTATCAGGGACTTGGAAAGGAAGGGCTGCTTATGGTTTTGGAGAAGTGTTCTTCTTTCCTCTGCTTTGAATGCTCCAAATGAGGCCAGTGCAATATTTTATGGAAAGAGTGCTGAGAAGTGATGAGAAACAAAACCAGGGGTGTCCATGGCAGAGCCAAGAGCAGTGGGGAGTCCACTTGAAGTGAAGATGAAGCTGCCAATTAGGATAGCTCAAGGATGATCAAATGGCTCTATTCCCAAAGAGTAGAGAGGAGTCTGTCTTAGAAAAGCCTACAGCCTGACCTTTGGATTACTAGTGCAGAATTTATTATCAGTTTCTTTTCTAAATGACTAGATACCATATTAGAAAATTTAGAAATGAAGAAAAATAGCAGAGAGCATTATTGTATGAGACAGCTATCATGCCTCTTCCCCGTCTACATATATTAAATCTGTGTATAAATAAAGATTAATAGTCTAAGAGAGATTGATTAGTAAAGATAGGTTTCATAGCCACCAAGTGAAGGGTAGTAGTACTGTCATTGCCTCTGAGTAGAGAAACAGCTAAAACTAATAACATATAATGTAAAATTAAGCAATAGTACTTATTTTATTGATTTCCTGAATTAGGATTGGACATATTCTAACCCTGGATATTTCTTTAAGATGTGCTGGCACTTTAAGTATTTGTAGCCGGTAAAATGATGTGACTATACTACATTTCAGAGAGGCTGTATGTCTCTCATGAAAGATAAAGCAGGACCTGGTCTTTATAAAAATAAACTCTTTATTAAAACGGTATCATTGTTACTCAACCTATGTAGAGACTATAAACAATGAGTAGATATTTTAAAACAATTTAAAAATATTTGTTTTAAACACAGGAGGGGAGCTGCTTCTGATTCATCTCACTGCACAGGTTGTTGATTAGCTTTAATGTCAAATTTGTTTGGAAACTCAGATTGTAACTTTTGGGACATAGTCAGCAGTTCCAGCTCTTGTCCTAAGCTTAGTCTGTACACGGCTGGCCACCTTCATTATATGGCTTCATGTTGTTCTAGCTCTTAGTTGCTTAGAAACATCTGTTGTCAAGGTTTGCTGCATCTTCACCAGGGGTTCGTTGTTTAGTGTTCCTCTTCTGTAGCAAAGATGAAATCAACTCATGTTCTCAAGCCTTTTCTCTTTCTCTGTTCTCTCTCTCCAGACCTTTCAGGTTTTCTTGCTTAAAATGCTGACTTCCAGCTGAAATATATAGAAAAATGTTCTTTTCACTGTGGCGTACCATTCTTGATAACTGAACATTATCATATATTTCTGATTCTGTTTTCTTATTTCTTCTTAGAAAGGAATTCCTAGCACATATATGCTGCATAGTGGAAGGAACAGTCCTTCTCGTCCCACTTAACTGTCTTCTAGCTTGCTCTAATAACTTTCTTCCCTAAAAACAGTTATCCTGTAGATGATAAATCTATTTTTGTTACCATAATCTCTGAATTTAGGCTCAATGACTTTATCTGACCAATTAAAAGTAATGGAATTTTAACAGCCATCTTTAGAACTTATTGAACATATAGACCTATATTTTTCTACAAATATATGCTTCTCCCGCAATATAATAACAATCTTCGAAATTTCCTTATGATTTAATTAAAAGGTGCTGTCATCATTAAGAAAAATTTTGAAGACTTTAAATAGTCTTACCAAGTCCTTTCGGTTTAGTATATAACCATGGGAGGATGGACCTTCAAATTAAGCAAATTGATTTTGAAACATAAATACCAGACTGTAAGGTCCAACTTCAAGTCTTATTAACAGTCTCTCTGGGTGAAGCAGTTGGAAAACAGGGATATTTAGCCACCAGAGCAATTATAATTAAAATGAATATAAATATAATTACACAGCCTTGTAATTATCTGGTATATAACATTTGAGTCTCCAAACTGCAAATGCAAATAGAAAGCAAATCAACACTGCAAATTCTAATTAGTTATTAGACAGGGACATAAGATGAAAGAGTTCAAACCAAAGAATCTTATGTCAGCAAATTTAATTACCTTCTTATTTTGATCCTGTACTGGAGGTTACTTTGTACCATTGTATGACTTTTCTCTCTTAGTGTTTTTTAACTACTTAGTGTTCAGTTCTATCCGCTTTCATAAGCCTATGCTTATTCCTAAAATGACTTATGGTGGTTCCTCAGAAAATTCCATAAATGCTCTTATCTGCTTAGTTACTATTCCAGTCGTGAAAAACCTCAACACTGGAACTTATTTCCATTTCTGATTGTGTAGGGAGGGTAAAACTAAGTGTAAAGAAATATTGTTCAAATAGTATTGTTTTATAATGATAACGTCTGCTATAATCACTATGTCGTGTGTGTGTGTCACAACATTGGCTGTGGAAGAGTTTTCTCAGAATTACCCATCTATTGTTCTCTTCTTCTTCTGGGAACAAAGGAGGATTTTGCATACCTTGCATTCTTCCAGTTAGAGCCATGATCTGTGATTGCAAGTGACTTGGTCATTTTCTGCTTGGGGCATTTAATTTCTAGTATGAGACCCTTAAATGCTCTCTTCCCTGGCCAAAGTGAAGAAATGGTCACAAATGCCAGGTAGAGCAGCTATAAACAGCAGTGTCTTGCAGCCCTGGTAGTATGACTGTGGATTAGCCCCCCACCCCTACACTCACCAACCACAGATAGCACATGTAAAGAGAAATAAACTTGTATTGTCTTAAACTGGTGAGAATTGTAGGTTGGTTGTTAAAAGAGCATAACCCAGCCTATTATCATCAATGTGTTATCTTATTTTAATTGCTTTAATGTAAATGGCACAGCAAACCTGAGAGATATTATTCTCCTTTTGCAGATGAAGACACAAACTGCAAAAGTTAAAAGGACATTTTCTCAAGGATTTTGAGCCTGTAAGAACAATAAATGGTAGTAAATCTGAGCCCACTACTCTTCCTGTTCTTCCAACTGCATTGTAGTCAGTTGTGAAAATGACTGCAGTGTGTTTTCTATCAGAATTGTACTGGTTTGCTGGATTATACAGGGTTACACAAGGAGCAATTCAGGAAACTCAGGGAATAGAGCTGCATTGGTTTTTAGTATTCAGTTTTAGTCTAGCCAGAGAGAAAACATCTGCTGTCTTCATTGCTGCTGTAGCTGTTGGAGGTGCTCTCCTTAGGGTGGTGCTTAGCCTGAGGGGGGAAAACCAGCTGAATGTGCTTAGAAGGATTTGTTCTCTCTGAGGTTTAGAAGGTGACATTGGTATATCTTTCTTTATAGGGATGCAAACAGAAAGGTGAATGACTTTAATATTGCTTGTTGCTTCATGTTGCTCAGTTTGAGGGACAGTGACATAATTTTAAGATTCTCTTTTATCACAGAATTTGTGGTCAGGCCATGTTCTGATATTTGATCTAGAAAGAGAATGACCGTAAGCATATTTCAAGTACTGTGCTAATTTCACACAGTGCACATCGTTTATTGGCAGAGCCTAAGAGTTGTAAAGAAAGTTTTAGAGGGGAAAGTTTATCTTGAGTATTTGAGAATAGTGGTTAGTTGTGCGGGACCAGGAATCAGATTATGATTCAGGTAACCTTGGAAAAGTTATGTAGCTTCTATTCAGATACCTTATCTGTTAAAAGAGGAATAATAGAGTTTGGTGAGTTTTAATGAGATATTATATGTGAAACACTTAACAGAGTGTCTGGGACAAAGAAAGCACTCAGATAATGTTGAAACGAAAGTTTTTCCAAGTTTTCAACCAATTGAGTGTGAGATACAGACCTTTGTGTTAGATTGGAATCAAATTTATTACCTTCTTTAATACTGGCATTTGAATTGGAGAGCTCAACTTAGACAAGAGGCCACCATTGGTATTGTAATTTAATTGAGCCAATTCATTGTATTAGTCAGCTTTTGTTAGGAGATATTATGGTAACAAACTATTCCAAATATCTGTGGCTTACAAAAGCAAAGATTTACTTCCTGTTTCCATTACGGGTTGGCTGTAGGTTGTTTCAGGCTCTGCTCTGTGTCTTCTTTATTCCAGGATTTACAATGACTATACAGGCACAATTCAGGACATTATTAGGCTAGTAACAGAGAGAAATTTAAAAAGCAGCTAAGCCGTGCAATACCATTGCTTGGAGGTAGCACATGCCACTTCCACAGATGCATCACTGGCCAAAACAAGCCATATGACAAGCCTGATATCAATGTGCGGAGATGTACAGTCTCTCTCTAAAGAAGAAGCCATCAACATTTTACAGCAATACGGTCTATTAGAGTCCACACTTTGGGTGTAAATATTTACTACCTTTCCTTCCACAAAGAAAGTACATGCACCCTCTCCCCAAGCAACATCAGTCATGGAATCACGTTCGGTGGCTATGAGTAATTATTGTTGCCTTCAGCGGCTTTGCTCATCTGGAGAACTGTGAACCCTAAAGGGAATTTTATCTGCTTCCCAAACGATCTTTTTATTTATACAATGGAATGGGTCAGGGTAACCCTAATAAACACTGTAATTCAGAAAAGAGAAGTGTGTGACATGCTCAGAAGTCACTGCTCCACAGTAATTTTGAAGTTCCTCTGTGTAGATGTCATTAGGGCCCACCATACCCAGGATGTGTGGAATACACTTGTTTAGGCCTCTGCTCCCTAAAAGTCTTTCTTTTTCAATCTGACTCATGGCTGTTTTAGAAAGACAACTCTCTAAAAAATATGATCAGCCTCTTGTATATTTGATACCATTTAGCTCTGCCTATAGTGATACACATAGCCCTTTACAACAAATGCCTCTTTCTTTAGATTTAATTAAGGGCTACTTGAATCTTCCTTGGGAGAGCCAAACCTTTAGTGTATTTCCTTCAAGCCATTTGTCCAACTAAAATGATTTAATGGATACTACATCAACCAATTCAAAGGATTTAAAATGACTTTTATAACTTCTCTTTGCTTTTGTCTTGCCACTGAGTTGAGATTTTTGTAGACCTTTGTATTTTTCAGTTTTATCTGTGTGATGGTTGGAAGTGAAAAGCAGTTGCATTTTCCAACTGTGAAAGTCACAGAATTTCTAGATTTTCTAAACTCCCTTTTAATCTCTTTGCAAACTAGCTAATTCTTTCCTGAACTCATCTCTTTCTTATAGAT